AAAGTCTCGCAAAATTTGTTCTGTGCGGGGATTCGAATCCCCTCAACAATTAACTTTTTTAAGCCTCACATCACAAGTTTGTTAAATGATTGCTATGATAAATAAGGATGATTCTTTCATTTATGTAATATCCACTTTCTTGCGCTGGTGGAAAAAAATACAAGCGGGAAGAAAAAAAAGGGAAGGAGGGAGAAAAATTAAAGAAAAAAAATACGAAGCGGGATGGAAAAACGGGAAGGAGGGAGAAAAAAGGCAAAAAAATACGAAGCGGGAAGAAAAAAAACGGGAAGAAGGAAGAAAAAAGGGTGAAGAGATACGAAGCGGGAAGGAAATAAACGGGAAGGAGGGAGAAAAAAGGGCGAAAAAATACAAGCGGGAAGGAGGGAGAAAAATTAAAGAAAAAAAATACGAAGCGGGAAGGAAAAAACGGGGAAGAGGGAAAAAAAATTAAAGAAAAAAATACGACCGAAAAAAATACGAAGCGGGAAGAAAAAATTGCGAGGGAGAAAAACCACCGATAAAAAGACGACGCGGGCAGAAAAAAATTGAGAGGGAGGAAAAACGGACGAAAAAGAGGAAGCCGGAAGGAAGATGAGAGAAAATGGAAGACAGAAATACAAAGCGGGAATCGAAAACCTACCGAAAAATTTGAAGCGGGTAGAAGAAATCAATTGAAAAATTTGAAGCGTAAAGGAAACCCCGTTTTTCTCTCTCGTTTCTTTTAGGTAAGTTTTTAACAAATCTAGGAAAAAATGGAAAGCTGAATGGAGAAGCGCATGGAGTTGAACAACCGATGAAAAATACGAGGCAGGAGGATAAAATATGAATTCGCAATTTTTCAGTTGACGGGAAAGAAAAAAACGGGTGAGGATCCAGTATTGTAAAGATTTGGCGTGATGGGACTGTATATATTTGTATGTGTGACTGTGTGTAACTGATGGTGGCGTAAATGTGACCGTTAAAACTGTGCAAATGAGGGCGACGTGGTCACAAATAGTTGCTCTTCAGTGTCGTATTTATTATCACACATAAACCAACTATTACAAAATTTAAGAGTGTAAATGAGACGAGGGGACAATTTAGAGGTACGGTGTTCTCCCTCGGAATGGTGAGCCGACACTGGGCAATTTTCACAAATGGTCGGGATTATCACACACAAGAAAAGATGCTACTTTTACAAAAGGAACCTCCTCCTCTCCTCCTCTTGACCAATGACAAAAGGAGACCTTCAAGTTAATTTAATTAAAAGAGGAGGAGAGGAGAGGCAAAAACTTCAACAAAAACACAAATTGAGGAAGATAAAATGTGCACAAAACTCAATTATCTGTAGACTGACTGGAGCCGGGTTCAAATTTCCCTACCGGACTCCAGTCTCAAAACCATACAAAAATCTCATATTGCCATGTCATGAAAATATTCATTATCATTATCTAGTCAATTTTTATAAAAATCATGATCATCATAATCTAGTCAATAGTCATAAAAATAATTATTCTAATCGACCAGTATAAATACCCCAGAATTATTTATGGGGTTCCTGCTTTTTAGAGGCTATTAGTTGTTTTGCTATAAGTTGTTTTTACTAATCTTATGCAGCCACTCTCACCATCGTCCGTGAAAGACATTATGCCAAGTTTTATAGCATTTGGGAATAGGTTTTTGAGTTAGGTATGTATGCTTCTCATAAAGAATTATTTAGCGATCTACATACAACATAGCGTAGCAGTAAAATTATCTGGGTGGCGGAGATGTGGGGAGCTTGTTTAGTACTTTTAAGTGCACTTCCTCACCTTAGAATTAGAACCATTTACTTTTTCAAGCTATATTTTTATTAAATATGAATTCCTACGGTATATCAATATTTTTTATTAATTGAGAACTCTGTCTTGAGGAGTTGAATGCACAGTGTGCTAAAACTAGCTAGAGGCTTTCAGATCGTTGGAGATAATAAAAATTTGACAAATGCATTTCAAATTTGAATAAATACCGCAAGTCAATTTTTAAATATTATAAGGCAAATTAGTGTGTAAAATCTTGAAAGGAAGCGGGGGTTTCTAACATCCGAAATGGAAATTTGAATGGCGAAACATAAAATTGTTAAGGGAGTTGAAAGTAAGATTCAGTCTAGTCTCCAATAAAATAAACCCGAAAAAACGAGATTCTTATGTGAGAGCAAGTGTAACGGAAAGTTTAAAACAAAACTATTAAAATGATAATCCATTATTTGCATCACCACCCGCTGTATGTTTGATACCACTAAAAAGTTTTAGAAGTTTTTCGTCACATTTTTCGAATTCGTAACAATCTGAAATTATTCGTCGAAATGTGTTTCACCCGATGAGCGGATTTGCGGCCCGTGTTGAACTTAGAGAGCCAAAACCTGTAAAGTGTTGTGCTTTGTATATTAACTAAGTTTTAATTGAATTTATTATTGAGTAGTTGTTGCAATGTCCGGAAAAGATAATCCTATAATTTTGACATAAAGTATATGGCACTTGGTCTCTCATGCTGCGCAGGTGGTGCATACTAATTCGGCCTTTTCCTCCTTTTCCCTTTATTTTGCACCCTTGGTGCAAGAATATATGACAATTATGATCTCTTTTGTCGGCTTATTCCGCACCTTTGGTGCAAAGTTATGTCCAAATCATTATGAACCTTATTTTGCGCCTTATTCTACACTATTGATGCAAAAAATCTCAAAATTCTACACCTACATATTTCGATTATAATGCACCATTGGAACCAAATTATAGAGTTTTATACTTTTGTTGTGCACTTATTCGGCACCATTGGTGAAAAATTATATACATCCTTATTTATATTGCAGGGTGAGGTACTTCTAACGTTACTACGGTTTATTTTATTTTGCAACTTTTTTAATTTTTTTTTAATTCATCAATTAACAGGGGTGCATGGCATAATGATTTGCTGGCATTATTACCACAACAGCGCCCAATGCTGGGAAACTTCCAACCGACTTATCTCAGCCATTTGATTACCGATTTTTTTACTCGCGGAAGCAAAAATATAGCAATAAATATACGAAAGAATATTTTTTATGTTTGAATATTGTCAGAGTTCTGGTTCACAAAATTACTCTATCGAAATTGTTTTGGGAGGAATCCTCTAAGAAACATCCTTCTGGAGGGTGTTTTTGGCCCATAAGTCAGAAAAAAATCATCTACTTAAAAATGGAGTCGTCAAAAATTGCGTACTCCCTATCCCCAATAGTGTGCAAAATTTGAGCAAAATCAGTTGGAAATTGACAAAGTTTTTCTTGTGACATATTTTTCGAGGTGACCTGTAAATGCACACTTCTGCAGGTTATTTATACCTTGGCCACAGCCAAGAGATTAATTTGCATGACCTTAAAAAAGGATTCCTGGAGACTATTTAGATTGTCAAGGAACAGTCGAAAAAGACATTTTTGAAACCCACAAAACCCAGTCAAGTAGAATGCCCTGAAGGCTTCAATTCGAAGCAATCCACGAAGAACTTTCGAAACCTAGCTACATATTGGTTAATGTGTCAAGGGAGACGCTCAAATCGAACATTTTGTTGAAGACTTTGCAACATGACACTGTAATACTAATTATTCCCTGAAAGATAGCCATTTTTAACAAATGTACGACTCCCCGATGCTACGGGTCGCTAGAAAGCAAATGACCTATTTCTGTGGTTGTTTTGGCCCGCGTGAGCTGGTTGGCTATAGTTCACATAAATCTACTTCATCGAAAAGAGGTAGAAGATAAATGCGTCAAATAACTTATGCATTACATTACGTATGCTATAAGATTCTTGAATTCAGTGGGTGCTTTCACCGAGAACTGGCTCTGTGGGTCTCGCCTTCAACGATGCATAAATGGGGGAAAGCACTTTCGAAAAATTGATTTCAAATCGGAAGCTAACTGGTCCTCAAGATCAACAAGAAATTTGTAACATGAGAACTCTTGCAGTTACGCAGTTCATTCCTCGTATATACAGTTAGCTCTGCCATACTGACTACAAAATACTTCTTATCAAAAATACTGAAAGCATTAGTTTGGTAGTAGTTTCTACTCTTTACTACACTCAATTAAATTCTAAAATCTCCTATCTATGTACATGCAGTGTTGATCTGCTCTTTCGCGGGACTGAAGATCAACGCTGAGAAATATAACAAAACTTGCTGCTTCTTATTCCCACAAATCAATATACGTAGCATCAAATGCAGTGTAATAATAGAAGCGCATGGTAATTACAATTAGTAAACCAACCACCAAGTAATTAGCTAAGTACTATTGTATTGTCCAAAGCGTTTGTGAGAATAATTACTATAAAGGTCACTAAATCGGGAAATTTTTGGGACCGGGAAATTTTTTGGCAATGTTGGATACCGGGAAGAAAAAGTTTTTTCCACCAGCGCTTTCTTGTCCGAATCATTAGCCTGCGAAGTTTTTGCCATATGCATATTGGACGATGTAGGAAACAAGTTCAAGGGTAGGCTACATCGGTCATCTAGTTGACCTGTTGGGGTCATATTGGTGGATTGGGGGAGCAAAGTGTAGTGAGTGTAACCATAGAGAAGGCGACCCATACCAATTTTTACAAAATACTAGTTTCATCTGAAATGAAGTCTGCACTGTAGAAATTTAACTTTTAATTTTAAAACTTATAAAATTGTTGAAATTCTGGAAAAAGTAGAAAAATACCCGTTATTTTAAATATATAAATATTACCCGGTACCCGGCCGGGTAGCCGGGTACCCGGCCAAAATTTCGGGCCGAGTACCGGGTAGCCGGGTACCGGGTAGTACCACTACCCGGGGCAACCCTAGACTTATTGCTTATCTGGAAATACAAAATCAAGAAATTTGTCTTCGTTTAATTTTTTTTTACAGATTTTTCATCCACCATGTCCTGCCTTATCTGTTTACGCGTTATCCACGACGACGACGACACGGCACAAAATTCTATCCAGAAAATGAGCATTTCAACCCTTTGCAAACTCAAACTCTTAGCACCCATCAATAAATCTGAATTTGACGATGATGACGAAACGTGTAACCTTTGCACCGACTGTTACCCTCTTTTCGCCAGAATGGAAGAAATTAAGACCCAAATTTCTCTCCTGGAGGAAGAAATCTTGTCAAAAGTTGGTCAAATCCAGGCCACAATTTTCCACACTGCCACCCAACTAGAAAATTATGGGGATAACGATGAAAGGCAAAAAATTACTCAAATTCGTGCCATGCTCCTTCGTGTGGCAGGTGAACAGTCAATTAATTAATCCCTTATTTTATTTACATTACAAAATAACTATTATTTTAATTAGGAGCGAATGCAGAGCCACATGACGAAAATTGCATGTCTGACGAGGTCCAAGTCAAAATAGAACATGATGACCCTGCTGATGCTGATGATGTTGATCCCCTCGGCGACGTGGTCGACCAATTCGCGTGCGACGATAATTTCGCCTCCCAGGGAATTAGTGTCGAAAAATTAGTGACGAAGAGATGGATGGTCAAAATACCGATGACGATGTCGACAGTGCCTTTTGTATTACTCCTACTATCCTAAAGAGACCTAAAAGCACAGCAAAAGTCATGACAAGAACGCTCGGGTATTTTGGTGTATTTTTAGTCCGTCATACTTTTTTGCAGTAATATTTATAAATTTTAGCACAATTAAGACTAATCTTTGTATTAAATTTGCAAATATATTCTAGCACTAAACGAAAGCGGGAAGATTCTCCCTCTTCTGAAGAAGAAGAATCAAACATAATTTGGACGCCATCCTCCCCCCGCATCGAAACCGCACTAACCGCTCCACCCACAGGGGTCGAACTCGAAGAAACTTTTTCACCGAATCCTTCAATCGAAAAAAAATCTTCTTTAACATCAAGCTCAGACGAGGATACAAGCTCTGATGACGACGACAACGATTCGACCCCCAAAATCGAGCCCGACGCCGACATCAGCAAACCTTCAGACGATAATCAAACTGACATAGTTTACACATATGACATCACTCGTCCCCACAAGTGCACCTTTTGTCTTAAATACTTTCCCACCGAGGTCATGGTCAGCGGTCATATCAAACATTACCACAGCGTAGTCTGCACCGTGCCCTTATGCCCGGCCCGGTTTAGCAACATAAAATCGAGGAATGACCACTTGAAGCAGACTCACGACGGGCTCACCCCGTATCAGTGCCAAATTTGCAAGAAAAGGTTTCTTTTCGAGGGCAAGCTCGCTGCGCACAAGGTGATAAAATTGGTCCTACAAGAATATACTGGTCGTGCCCAAATTCAGACGATATTAATTATTAATCAAAAATTAATTTGACAGGTGATGCGCCATGAAGAAGGCGAGAAGAAGTTTTTCTGCGCCAAATGCGGGAAAGGTTTCTGCCTCGAGGATAATTATGCGAGACATGTCAAGCTTCATGAAGTCGAGGGGATAAAACCGCTAGTTTGTGACGTGTGTGACGACCGATTTGAAAATGAGGCCCGTTTACAGCGACACTTGAAGACACTGACGCATTTTAACCCGTTCGAGTGTAGTTTTTGTCCTAAGCGGTGCATCAGTAAGACAGCCCTGGAGAGGTAATAATTATTTATCTGTATTATTATTAAGGGTACTGCAAACTGGTATTGCAAAATTTATTTACAAAGAATTTGCAGAAAAAATCATTCTTCACAAAATGTAAAAAATGAAAAACCGCCACTTCAATGGGTAAATTTGTGAATACAAGTCTTTCCTAAATAATTTAGTGAAGTAAATTTGCGAACAAAAATCGTACATTTATCTAGAGAGTTTTGCGAAATTTTGCAAAAGATTTGCAAGAGTTGCAATTAATGACGTGAATACGCCCAGAGTTTTGGAATTAATCCCTAAAAACTAACTAATCCGAAGAATCAATTATTCTTTCTCCAGACATTTACATACCCACAGTAAAGAAAAAAGGGAAAAATGTCCCCACTGCGACTACACCGTGGGCGATAAGGTCACCTTGGAGCGCCACATCGCCCGCGCCCACACCGCCGGCCCTTCCACGCATATTTGTCCCCACTGTGGAAAAGGGTACTACCACCGCTACGATCTTACGGACCACGTGAGAGAGCGCCATGTCGATGGACCGCCACGACCTGCGCCAATGCGACAATGTGACCTTTGTGGCGAAACATTTTCAGCATTTTCCACCTTCCAAGCCCATCTTGTCAAGGAGCACGGCGGCGACCCGTTTGTTTGTGATCAATGGTAAAGACGATTAGATTTGTTGAAAATATATAAATATTTATGGTAACAATAAGTTTTTGACAATTTTGCAACAGCGGAGCCAGACTCGTATCGAAGGCAGGGTTGGACCGACACAAGCAGATCCACGAGGGCGACAAAAAGCATAAATGCCAGGTAAAAAAATTACGCTTTTCGCACATTTGTGTTGAAAGTCTTGCAAAATGTGATTTCACAAAAATTTGCAAAATTCACTACAAACAGTCCTCTTATTCTGTTTTGATTTACTTTCTATCCATTTTTTTTGGCTTTTAATGGAAAGGATGAGCTTGCGAAATTTAAAAAATGTAAATTGGATAATGCTAAGAAATGACAATTTGAAAAAAATGAAATGATAAAAATCACACATGTTTCTAGAAAAAGTTTACAAATTTATCAAACCTTCAATTCTATTGTTATGCTCAATTTGCGTACATATGATAAGTACATACTTATCTAATCAACGAATTCTATTGTCCTTATCTGTAGACTTGCGGCGTCTGTTTCGTCCGCAAGATTGAACTAGCGGCGCACATGGGAACCCACCGCACAGAGCGACCATTCCCCTGCCCCCACTGCGCAAGAGCTTTCAAAACAGGTGGAAGATTGGGTCAGCACGTGAGAGATAGTCACACTCCGGGCTACGTCATCCCCACCCACAAATGCCCCCAGTGTAGGAAAGAATTTCGATTTCGTAACAAGCTGGACGCCCACATTCGCGCAATTCACACGGGAGAGCGACCCTTCACCTGCGACCAGTGCGGAAAAGGGTTCGTGATTAATTCGGCGCTAAGACTGCATTTGAGAGGAGCACATGGCGTCGCTTTGGAGTCGAAAGATAGACTGCGAAGGTCGAAAAAGCGTGTGGTCCAGAGAGGAGATGAAGAAGTGACTACTTGAATATTACAGAGTATTGTTAAATTTTGATTTTATGATGATATTTATCGTTAATTTTATATAATTACGCAACCGTGATTAATATTATCTCCGTTACATTGTTACTGATGTACATATATTAATATGGAAATTATGAAATGTACATACATATATCTATGCAAAATTGAATTGCGTATTTCTGCATATATGTACTTGCCAATTTTGTATACAAATATATTAGTGCAAATTATGTGGAATTATGTGTGTATTTACATACAGGGTTTGGCACTTTGGTGGATACGAATTTGACCTTGAATAACCCCGGAACGGTTTGTCGTAACGGTTCAAAATTTTGAACAGACGAGCATGTTATCCTCAGATAGTTGTGTGCAAAAATTCAACTCTCTACTTTCAAAAATGCCTCCCCCACAGCCCCCAGAAGCTGAGACAGTCATTTCAACTTCAGAAAAAATCTCCCCGTGTTTGCAAAAAATGTTATTTAAATTTTCTGTTCAGGAATAAGAGTGCGTTATTGGTGGCAATTGACGAAGAACTATTTTCCCTACAAGTTACTAATTGGGTTCGAAGAGCTTAGTACACGACAAATGCCGAAAAAAATTCAAGAAATTTGGTGGTTTTCAGTGAGGAGAACTTTTTCAAACATTTTATGGTTGTGGGTGCAATGTCCGGTCGTGGTATCCTCCCACTTATCAAAGTCCCCCAAAAAGTGAACGTATCTGCAAAGTATTATGTGGACCGTGTTTTGAAATCACTTTTAGAATAACATTTTCCTAAATTACACGGTGAAAAAATAAATAAGGTGATTTTTCATAATGACTCAGCGACTTCGAAAACGACAACGTTGACTCAAGATAATGCAAACGACCTTGAACCTAGAATGGGGATAAAAATCATTTCGAATAGTGAAATACCTGTAAAATGCCCTGACATAAGTCAAATAGACTTTTTTGGGTTCGAAGACTTGAAAATAAATTTTTTTCTATGGAGACCAAATTTTTGAGACGGAGTTTGGAAAAAGTTAAAATGACTCTCTCAACTTCTGGGGGCTGTGGGGGAGGCATTTTTGAAAGTAGAGAGTTGAATTTTTGCACACAACTATTTGAGGATAACGTGCTCGTCTGTTCAAAATGTTGACCCGCTACGACAAACTGTTCCGGGGTTATTCAAGGTCAAATTCGTATCCACCAAAATGCCAAACCCTTCTGTATTTGTGCTAGTCACTTCGTTTGCATATTTTGACGCAGTCGCGAAAGACATGAATTTTTTTCGTTTTGCAATATTTTATTTCATTTCACCCAGTACATTTTAATGATAACAGTTTAGTGATGGATATGATAAGAGATTTAATGGTCAAGCCTCTTATCATACTAGTCCCCTTCAAAACAATGCATTACAACGACACCGAAATATCGGCACAGTTTAGCACGACTTCTTGCGGTCCGCAACACATGGCGCCAGGGGGATTTGGACAATCACAGACACCGTCACACTCTCCCCAATCCTTACCTATTTATACACAAATTTTAATAATTCTCTCAAATTTTCGCCAAAAAGCTACCTCACTACCAGTGACCGCGGAAGCGATGGGGACATTAACATTACAGGATAGTTGAGGGAGGGAGGGGTTTGTATATGAAACATGGGAAAATGATGGGGACTTTAAATAATCGTGGGAACATTGTCCCTCTATCCCCACCCTTCCGCGGCCACTGATTAAATAAATACTTACATGATCTATAGTACAATCTGAGCACGCAGTACTGACAACTCAAATCCGGCGGTAACTGGACCGTCGTATTCACGAAACCTTGCCTGTTCGTAACATCAATTTTCGTCGTAGTTCCTCCCGCCAGGGGAAGGAAGCCGCGTCGCTGAAAGCATTCGTGCGACTCGAGCGTCAAATCGTCACAAATTTGTACGGAAAAGTAGCCATTATGTTGCGCCGTTAGTTCGAATGCGATCGGGATTTCTTCACCGCGTCGATACCGTCCGGTAATAATGCCATTCGCGTACGTTCCCCCGTTCTCGTTGGGTCGGGGTCGCGCCACGGAAAATCCGTCGCCACAGACGCCACACGCCTCCGCTGCGTAGTCCTGCTTCTCACCGGCGCACCATAACCCGCCGTCATCGTAGTTTGGGGTGGGATTTAAGGAGGCGAAACGCTCATCCCGCCAGACCGACGACCTAGCGGAAAGTTTAAAATGGTCACTGGTCAAAACCTGGTTATGTGTGTTTCAGCTAGCCCAATTTTTTATAAAAACCAACAAAAAGCTTCAGCAACCAACGCATTTGGATTCCGAACCCTGACAAAAACCTGGTATGAAATTGGACTCGCTATGTTTACGAATTTTGATGTAAAATACGGAAATAATGAGTATATTCACAATTGTCTGTATACATATTCTTCGTATCGTAAAATAGTTTAAGAAAATAAAATAAGGGGTCAAGTTTCGTAAAAAAATCGTAACCCTAGTAACGTGTGTTTTACCAAATCATACCACATTTACAAACTCTTGCAACCGCTGTAACTTATTTTACGATAGTAAGAATATGGTAGGAAGGACACGAAAGAGTCATGAATTACCTTCGTTCAAAATTTCAGAAACATTTACATAAAATTTGATTACAAAAATTAAAACGGACTTTTTTCACAACTTTTTCTGTATTTATCAAACTGGATAACATTCTATTTCAGAATTTTTAGCTGTGTATCTATGTAGAGCATCAATTACGTAATTTATCTACCTTTGCGGAGGTTCCCTTAAGGTGCCATGTCCCTCCACGTAAAAAAACCCGGCCGAGCAGACGACCCCAAAAATTAGCAGAATCTTCATAATTACAAGTTATCAATAACTCGAGGGAAGGACGAATGAGACAAATTTGCTCCTTTTTCGACTTATAAATCACCAACTAATCAGAGGACACCAGATAAATAATGCACTCGAACAAACAATCGATAGGAATGTTGCCGATCTGTTGGTCGAGTTCCACATCGAAGCTTTACAAATATTAACATTTTATAAATAGTAAATTGTTGCATTCTTTCCATGTATATGTAAGATGTTGCCAAATCGTTAACTCTACAGAGATGACATCATCATAATAAATCGGTGCAGTACTGTTTCACCATCTGCGATTTATTATTGATTGACTTCTTATATTTTATTTGTCTGATTTCTATTTTACTTTATAATTTTTGTGTACAATTCTATCTATTTATTTACATATTCATATTCATACGTACATTGCAATTACGTTGCAATACTTTTATGTATGTAAATTACATACATAAAAGTATGATTTACATGCACAACATATGGTATTTGATGAGACAAAGTTTTGGTGCGAGTTTCCATTCCATGTGATCTTTGTAAATATTTCTGATTTCGGAAATTCGGAGACTGAAATTTGAAATTCCATGTTTGGTTCCAGGTAGAATATTTAGCAGATGTCATACAATTATGAAATTTCGTCGCGGTGGACATTAACATCAGCGGTGGACGGCATCTAAAGATTGGTACAATTTGCTAGGTATTTATTTTATATATACATACACTTAAATGTGTAATACACAATAATTGTGTATTAAACTATTAAAACTATTTTATATGCCACAATAATTTTATATTTTGCACTATAAAACGTTTAATGAAATGCTCGTTGTAGCATAATATTATCTGACTTATTTAGGGTTGCCCCGGGTACCGGGTAGTTACCCGGTACCCGGCATACCCGGCCTGTTTTGGGATACCCGGTACCCGGCCGGGTAGACTTAAGTACCCGGTCTACCCGACCGGGTAATTTAAATATTCAATTTTCTTACTTAAAATGCAAAATCTTAAAAAAATACAAAAAATACCGATGGGTTTCATTTTTGTACTTGGTATCAAATAATATGTTTGGAACGAATAAGTACAACTTTGGCTAACACTTATTTGGAAGTTATCATACAAATTTTAAAATTACTTTGAGTGCACTCGCGTCAACGAATTTTAAATTAGTCAATTAGCATATCTCGCACATTACGCATAACTTGCGAAGTTTTTAGAAGGTTTCAAAATTTCTCAAAGCTTTTGCTAAACAGCTATTGTTTTTTTGTAAAATTATTTCGCAGATTCATCCTCGCGATCATCAGCGAGAGAAATAGCGAACGTCCATGACAAAAAGACCAGGACAGACCTCTTTCGTTCATTTGCAAGACTTTCGAAATGCTATCTTGCTAATAGATTCGCAGGATAGCACCTCGAAAGTCTCGCAAAATTTGTTCTGTGCGGGGATTCGAATCCCCTCAACAATTAACTTTTTTAAGCCTCACATCACAAGTTTGTTAAATGATTGCTATGATAAATAAGGATGATTCTTTCATTTATGTAATATCCACTTTCTTGCGCTGGTGGAAAAAATACAAGCGGGAAGAAAAAAAAGGGAAGGAGGGAGAAAAATTAAAGAAAAAAATACGAAGCGGGATGGAAAAACGGGAAGGAGGGAGAAAAAAGGCAAAAAAATACGAAGCGGGAAGAAAAAAAACGGGAAGAAGGAAGAAAAAAGGGTGAAGAGATACGAAGCGGGAAGGAAATAAACGGGAAGGAGGGAGAAAAAAGGGCGAAAAAATACAAGCGGGAAGGAGGGAGAAAAATTAAAGAAAAAAAATACGAAGCGGGAAGGAAAAAACGGGGAAGAGGGAAAAAAAATTAAAGAAAAAAATACGACCGAAAAAAATACGAAGCGGGAAGAAAAAAATTGCGAGGGAGAAAAACCACCGATAAAAAGACGACGCGGGCAGAAAAAAATTGAGAGGGAGGAAAAACGGACGAAAAAGAGGAAGCCGGAAGGAAGATGAGAGAAAATGGAAGACAGAAATACAAAGCGGGAATCGAAAACCTACCGAAAAATTTGAAGCGGGTAGAAGAAATCAATTGAAAAATTTGAAGCGTAAAGGAAACCCCGTTTTTCTCTCTCGTTTCTTTTAGGTAAGTTTTTAACAAATCTAGGAAAAAATGGAAAGCTGAATGGAGAAGCGCATGGAGTTGAACAACCGATGAAAAATACGAGGCAGGAGGATAAAATATGAATTCGCAATTTTTCAGTTGACGGGAAAGAAAAAAACGGGTGAGGATCCAGTATTGTAAAGATTTGGCGTGATGGGACTGTATATATTTGTATGTGTGACTGTGTGTAACTGATGGTGGCGTAAATGTGACCGTTAAAACTGTGCAAATGAGGGCGACGTGGTCACAAATAGTTGCTCTTCAGTGTCGTATTTATTATCACACATAAACCAACTATTACAAAATTTAAGAGTGTAAATGAGACGAGGGGACAATTTAGAGGTACGGTGTTCTCCCTCGGAATGGTGAGCCGACACTGGGCAATTTTCACAAATGGTCGGGATTATCACACACAAGAAAAGATGCTACTTTTACAAAAGGAACCTCCTCCTCTCCTCCTCTTGACCAATGACAAAAGGAGACCTTCAAGTTAATTTAATTAAAAGAGGAGGAGAGGAGAGGCAAAAACTTCAACAAAAACACAAATTGAGGAAGATAAAATGTGCACAAAACTCAATTATCTGTAGACTGACTGGAGCCGGGTTCAAATTTCCCTACCGGACTCCAGTCTCAAAACCATACAAAAATCTCATATTGCCATGTCATGAAAATATTCATTATCATTATCTAGTCAATTTTTATAAAAATCATGATCATCATAATCTAGTCAATAGTCATAAAAATAATTATTCTAATCGACCAGTATAAATACCCCAGAATTATTTATGGGGTTCCTGCTTTTTAGAGGCTATTAGTTGTTTTGCTATAAGTTGTTTTTACTAATCTTATGCAGCCACTCTCACCATCGTCCGTGAAAGACATTATGCCAAGTTTTATAGCATTTGGGAATAGGTTTTTGAGTTAGGTATGTATGCTTCTCATAAAGAATTATTTAGCGATCTACATACAACATAGCGTAGCAGTAAAATTATCTGGGTGGCGGAGATGTGGGGAGCTTGTTTAGTACTTTTAAGTGCACTTCCTCACCTTAGAATTAGAACCATTTACTTTTTCAAGCTATATTTTTATTAAATATGAATTCCTACGGTATATCAATATTTTTTATTAATTGAGAACTCTGTCTTGAGGAGTTGAATGCACAGTGTGCTAAAACTAGCTAGAGGCTTTCAGATCGTTGGAGATAATAAAAATTTGACAAATGCATTTCAAATTTGAATAAATACCGCAAGTCAATTTTTAAATATTATAAGGCAAATTAGTGTGTAAAATCTTGAAAGGAAGCGGGGGTTTCTAACATCCGAAATGGAAATTTGAATGGCGAAACATAAAATTGTTAAGGGAGTTGAAAGTAAGATTCAGTCTAGTCTCCAATAAAATAAACCCGAAAAAACGAGATTCTTATGTGAGAGCAAGTGTAACGGAAAGTTTAAAACAAAACTATTAAAATGATAATCCATTATTTGCATCACCACCCGCTGTATGTTTGATACCACTAAAAAGTTTTAGAAGTTTTTCGTCACATTTTTCGAATTCGTAACAATCTGAAATTATTCGTCGAAATGTGTTTCACCCGATGAGCGGATTTGCGGCCCGTGTTGAACTTAGAGAGCCAAAACCTGTAAAGTGTTGTGCTTTGTATATTAACTAAGTTTTAATTGAATTTATTATTGAGTAGTTGTTGCAATGTCCGGAAAAGATAATCCTATAATTTTGACATAAAGTATATGGCACTTGGTCTCTCATGCTGCGCAGGTGGTGCATACTAATTCGGCCTTTTCCTCCTTTTCCCTTTATTTTGCACCCTTGGTGCAAGAATATATGACAATTATGATCTCTTTTGTCGGCTTATTCCGCACCTTTGGTGCAAAGTTATGTCCAAATCATTATGAACCTTATTTTGCGCCTTATTCTACACTATTGATGCAAAAAATCTCAAAATTCTACACCTACATATTTCGATTATAATGCACCATTGGAACCAAATTATAGAGTTTTATACTTTTGTTGTGCACTTATTCGGCACCATTGGTGAAAAATTATATACATCCTTATTTATATTGCAGGGTGAGGTACTTCTAACGTTACTACGGTTTATTTTATTTTGCAACTTTTTTAATTTTTTTTTAATTCATCAATTAACAGGGGTGCATGGCATAATGATTTGCTGGCATTATTACCACAACAGCGCCCAATGCTGGGAAACTTCCAACCGACTTATCTCAGCCATTTGATTACCGATTTTTTTACTCGCGGAAGCAAAAATATAGCAATAAATATACGAAAGAATATTTTTTATGTTTGAATATTGTCAGAGTTCTGGTTCACAAAATTACTCTATCGAAATTGTTTTGGGAGGAATCCTCTAAGAAACATCCTTCTGGAGGGTGTTTTTGGCCCATAAGTCAGAAAAAAATCATCTACTTAAAAATGGAGTCGTCAAAAATTGCGTACTCCCTATCCCCAATAGTGTGCAAAATTTGAGCAAAATCAGTTGGAAATTGACAAAGTTTTTCTTGTGACATATTTTTCGAGGTGACCTGTAAATGCACACTTCTGCAGGTTATTTATACCTTGGCCACAGCCAAGAGATTAATTTGCATGACCTTAAAAAAGGATTCCTGGAGACTATTTAGATTGTCAAGGAACAGTCGAAAAAGACATTTTTGAAACCCACAAAACCCAGTCAAGTAGAATGCCCTGAAGGCTTCAATTCGAAGCAATCCACGAAGAACTTTCGAAACCTAGCTACATATTGGTTAATGTGTCAAGGGAGACGCTCAAATCGAACATTTTGTTGAAGACTTTGCAACATGACACTGTAATACTAATTATTCCCTGAAAGATAGCCATTTTTAACAAATGTACGACTCCCCGATGCTACGGGTCGCTA